GGATGGTTGCACTGGACGGAAGGACGCATGGACGGACGCAGGGGCGGATGCATGTACGAACGCAGAGACTTACGCACGGCATGGACGTGCGGACGCACGAACAGACGCATGCACGGACGGGCGGAGTGACGCATGGACGGTCACACAGACGGACTGCATGAATGATGGAAGCAAGAACGAATGGATGGACGGACGGATGCTTCGCACCACTCTCCATCATTCACCCCGTGGATATGCTGCCATTTTTTTTTATCCAGTGGCTGAAAGAGAATGCTGTGGTCTGGAACGCGCTTATTCTTGATCGTCATCAGTGTCATTGTCACCGTGACGGACAACCTACGCACAACGGACAAGCCTAGACCCTAAACGGTGCTTCGCCCGCAAAGTAATATTAATAAAAGGTTACACAATGTCCCACCAAAGAGAGCCGTGAGTAGCATGCGAAGCAGCGCATGGGTCAACTTAATGTTCTGTTCGTCACGGGCACCCTGTCCGATGTTAACGCGTCCTTGCAAGTGGAGCACACCGTGGATTCACTAGTTTCTGCTGGTGTTACTCGTCCAGAACTCTTGTTGGAACACGCCACGCTGGTTCATCGCCACGCCACTCGGGAGCACGTAGGTTCATCTCGCGTCGGCCAGATCTTGTTCCCGACGCCATAGCGGAGAAAGTGTGAGAGGGAGAGGCCACAGGCTCTTAAGGCCTGTCCACACGTACCCGTTGCAGCGCGTTGGCGCGTGTCTGTTTTTACGCGGCGTCACACCCTCTCCTGTATGGAGAGAGAGAGAGAGAGCGTAGCAACGCACCCAGTCCCTCTATAGAGACAGGGAGCAGAATCACGTCAAAAAGCCATGCGCTTACGCGCTGCGATGCTTACGCCGGGTCAGGCCTCTACGCAGCCGCTTACGCAGGCCCAAAAGCGCTAGCGCGTGCCGGAGCGTTCTGGCTAGGATACAACGAGTTGGTTAATCGCGCGTCGGCAAAATCTCGTTCCCCGACGCCATTGCATGGTTACTGAGGAGAGTGTGAATGGGGAGAGGCCATAGCGTCTTACCCAGCCCCTATATAGGCCGGAACGCGCTAGTGCGTGAGCACGTTCTGGCAATGCTTGGGCGGGCTGTTGCGCATGCGCAATAAGGGTGGTCACGCTGCATACCACTGGATTCAACTCCACCATAAGCTGCATGCTTCGTATCTAAAACAACGATGAGCTCCTTGAATGGAACTCTAGGTGTTGAACATTTTTAGCCAGCTCGTGAATATCTAGGTCAAGTTTGCTCTCCGAAGGTGCGGAAAGTCGTGGAAGTGTTCATCGGTTAGTTTGGGGGGGGGGGGGGGTTATGACTTGTAGCGTGGGCCGTATAATACAGCCTCGCGGAGCCTCAGCTTGCCGATTCTAGTTCATTGTTATGCCTGTTTGACGCCACACATGAATATGCTACTGCTTTACCATCTTAATTTCTGCTTTCCATTTTCCTTATCCTCAAATAACTTGTCACCCTTACTTCCCTTTCCCGCCCCGTGACTTTGCTATATATCTTCTTGCCTACGTGACGACCTTCTAGAGAGCAAATGACTCTTTTTTACTGGACAAGGACTGACTCCGCAACACGCTGGCTTGGTTTTTCAAGACTGGGAGAGGCGCTTCTCCGTTTTGTATCCTCTGTGATCATATCGGCGACATGAAACATTTTATCTGGCTATGCCCGAGTTTTGAGAGGGAAAGAGCAGCGATGGTATGCAGCTTGCAGAAAGGTTGTCACTGGCACGGGAAGATGTCATTTTTCCCTAAGGGCCCACGGCAACGAGGAAAAGCTTGCAACGTATTCTTATGACTTTCCTGCGGTATACAACGGGCTGTGTGACCTTTGGTGACGGACCGCTTTTATTCAGGAGGTGCTCAGGCGGAACAATTGCCGGCCACTTAGGTCAGTCTAATCCCGCCTGTTGCAGCACCACCACAACCGCCAAGCGGTGACAAATGATGACAACATACCACCTTCCTTCTCCCCTCCTCATCAGCCTCACTATCTTTCCAGCGCCTTGCTATACATGACTATGCTATACGCGAGTTTCCCTGCGTTACGCCAAACGTCATGACTCATGAGACGCCGACGACAGCAGTATACGACAAGCGGCGCCTCAAAAGTGCTCCGAACTTGAAAGCGGCATTCCCGGCCCTGTTAGCGGCTGCGGATAAGCTTTTCTTGCCCGCCTCGTAGCTACTAAATGTGAGCAATACATGATTCTAGCAGAATAAAAGCAAATTGCTTTCTGTGCACATTGGTTTTTATTGAAATGTATCAGCTGAAACAAAAAAAATAATATGGGGATTCCACATGACTTTACACGCCGATGACACTTGCATTGCTCAGTAACTTAGGGGACGAATTGGGGACGAATTGCAACTCATGATTACGGAGTTAGACAAGGAGAGCAGAAAGGTGGGTCTTAAAATTAATCTGCAGAAAACAAAAGTAATGTACAACAATCTCGGAAGAGAGCCGTGCTTTGAGATAGGTAATCGTGCACTTCAAGTTGTAAAATACTATGTCTACTTAGGGCAGGTAATAACCGCGGAGCCGAACCACGAGATTAAGTAACTAGAAGAATAAGAATGGAGTGGAGCACATTTGGCAAGCACTCTCAAATTATGACAGGTAGATTGTCCCTATTCCTCAAGAGGAAGGTGTATATTGCCTGGTATTTGTATATTGCCGGTACTTGTATATTTCCGGTACTTGTATATTGCTGTATATTGCCGGTACTTAGCTACGGAGCAGAAACCTGGAGACTTACAAGGGGGCTCAGCTTAAATTGAGGACGACGCAGCGAGCAATATAAAGAAAAATGGTAGGTGTAACCTTTAAGAGACAAGAAGAGAGCAGAGTGGATTAGGGAACCAACGGGGGTTAAGGATATCATAGTTGAAATCAAGAAGATGTAATGGACATGGGCCGGGCATGTAGGCCGTAGACAGGATAACCGCTGGTCATTAAGGGTAACTAACTGGATTCCCAGAGAAGACAAGCGGGTTAGGGGGAGACAGAAGATTAGGTGGGCAGATGTAGATTAAGAAGTTCGCTGGGTATAAATTGACAGCAGCAAGCACAGGACCGAGTTAACTGGCGGAACATGGGAGAGGCCTTTGTACTGCAGTGGACGTAGTCAGGCTGCTGCTGCTGCTGCTGCTGATAATGATGATGATGACACGCCAAAAGCACGATTGACTATGAGGTCCGCCGTAGTGGAGGGCTCCGGAAATATCAATCTGGTGTTCTCTAATGTGCGCTGACATCGCAGAGAACGCGGGCCTCCAGCATTCCACCTCCAATTGTGTGACCACTCGGTCTGCATGGCATAGAAGTCGTGACCGTCGAGTGGGCAGCCGAGCGCCACTGGACGAACAACGCAAACATACCGCAGGCCACATAAGAGGCACACGACGCTGATATACTTACATCTGGGCATACTGCGGAGCATACAGCTCTTGTAAAGAGCAATGCGGAATGTGGGAAACACAATGAAAGAACGCGGATACAAAGCCGAAGAAGCAAAACGCAAAAACGGCAATCCAAAGACACAACAAATCGTGTGACTTAGTTTGCATTCGGAAACGCGAAAGCCTCACCGAGCAAGCTCTTCATCAAGAAAGAAAGAAGAGAGGTGCTGAAGACCTTACCACCGAATATCTTGATATACGTACACGCTACCAGGCTGATACGTACGCATTGTGCTTGAGGCTTTGCTTCGAATAGTCGGCCGTTCAAACCTGTCTACAGTTTTCATACGTGCATTTACCATCTAGATTTTTCCAATCTGTGGGTGTAAACGGTCATTGCCTATCGTCTTATAACATCCGCAAGACAGCAGGTATGAAACAAACCTGTACAGTGGAACACTTGATAAGCGGCGCTTTCGGCCAGACACACTTTACCGGTGTTACAAATAGGTGTGCGCCACTTTCCCAGTTTAATGAAGGCACGACGAAGCAACTCGCACGCCGTGCCTACTTGCCTTTGTTTTCTTCAAATTGTGGAAAAGTTCAAAGGCATTCGATGGCCAAGCAAAATTTCGACAGCGCGGCAAACACATGAAAGGACAAAAGAGAGGCGGCGCAGACTTTTTGTTGGTTTTGGTTTTGCTGTACACGCAAAATATTATTTTTTCTCTCTATCAAATCAACTGTCGTTGTCTGTTAAAAAACGCGTAAAACAAATCAGTGACGTTTCTTTCTAGAACACAGCAGGCTCACCTGTTAGCACCCCCCCCCCCCCCCCTTCATTAAAGTCTTACCTGACCATATTGTAGGTGCTTATCGCAACTTGGTAATTCTTTGAAAAACACTCTCATATTCACGTGACCACGCATCCACTCAAGAAATAAACACACCACACACAGCACCACACCAACATTTATTATTATTATTATTATTATTATTATTATTATTATTATTATTATTATTAAGTGAATATCACCATGTTTTGATGTTGCCTTCACCTGGTCGCCATGGCAATGACCAAGTCCTTTGCAAAGCATGGAAGCCAAAAGGGTGACCTACCCCTTTCATTTTCTGTCCCATCACAAAGCTCCTATTTATTAGCATTTTCCCTTGTACTGCACGAATATTGGACTACGCGGTGTAACTACGTGGCGTAAGTTAGCGCAGAGAAAAATATTTATATGCGCATGCACGGTTAAGTCCTGTGTGCCCTTTTTAGTTGATTGCGTAGCGTTGTTCTCTTGTGCTCGCATGTGTTACTTTATCTGTTATGACGAAATTTAAACAACTAGTTCAGAATTCAGGTAATCTCGTGTTAGATTAACAAACTTTTAACGCTGATTGATTGATATGTGGTGTTTAACGTTTCCAAACCACCATATGATTATGAGAGACGCCGTAGTGGAGGACTCTGGAAAATACTTCTAGCGCCAACTCTCACAAAGTGTCGAAGAGTGCTGAAGCTCTCCCTAAGCTCACGTGCTATTTCCCCTTGCAGACGGTGTGGGAGGGAGTCCAGACGTGCCTGTACGCTGCCGTGGACGATCGCTTCGAGAGGGACACAGGCCTTTACTTGGACGAGTGCGCGCGTGGCTTTGTGAGTCACAGGGCGCTAAATAAGGAGTGCGTAGAGAGCACCTTCGCTCGAACCATCAGCCTCTGCCACCTGGACCCAATCCTAGTGGAGAAGATTTTTCAGGCATAGCGATAGCTTCGCAATATTGCCACCGATTGATGGGCCTTGAATATATTTGGGCGCAGGCTCGCTTGATTGCAGTCAAGGTGATTACACATGATGTGCAGAAGAAAAAAAAATGAGCATGCCTGCGGCCTCTACTGTCTTTGTTAAGAAAAGGCTCTTTCATACGTGCTACTAGCACCTTTTGCGACTCAAGTGACCGATGTTGACACGTGAGCACGACCCTGTATACGTAAACACAAAAAAAAACTCTTATCTGCTCGTTTTATTGACCCGTAAGTTGAACAGATGTCTTGTTCCTGCTCACGCGATTGGCTCAGAGCTTTGTGACGGCAGGGGCGATTGAGAAATGAATCAGCGAGCGACTAAGAGCCAAGTGGAGCCAAAGCAGTCGACGTGCGATCGAAACGGCCGGTTGCGACCATTCGCGACCAGTTGCTTCGCAACCAAGGCTAGCGATCGTTGCTAGTCAGCGGTGTGAACGAGCGTAATTAACACACGATTATTATATTCCACCGGTAGTTGTAAACGTGGAAGAAACACACATGTTGATTACTAGAATTCCTAAGGAAACCTTTGTAGTTTTATAGTTAGCCTACGTGCTTCAGCCACTGATTGGTGCACAGTCGCTAAGACGACGAAAAAGGTAGGTGCATGAGAGACTTCAGCGTCAGAGTCCGAAGAGCCGTCTGGACCCATCGTGCCTGATTGTGGAGCCTCCTCTGATTTCGTTGCATATACTTCTTCGACCTACCACACAGTCAACTCAGACCTGACTCAGCGGCTTTGACGGCGCGCCCTTTCGGCGGTGGAGTCGGGCGAACGCGACGTTTTTGTACTCCATACAAGCAGCCTGCGCTGCTCTTGTTTGTTTCTTTGTTTCCTTATTGCGTAGCCTCCACGACAGATTTACCGGGGCTTCACTATCTCAGCACTTTGATAAGGATTCTAGGAACGTAGAAATAAATAAATAAATAAATAAATAAATAAATAATAAATAAATAAATAAATAAATAAATAAATAAATAAATAAATAAAAGGCAAAGCTTCTCCTTGACATCACACGCTGGCTCATACCCAATACAGTGGATTGACCAAACAGTAGGTGGATCGTTTCATTGGGTTCCATACAGTGGAACACCACTAGGTAGAAAAGAGTATAGTAGAAATAAAGTACCATGATGGGACATAAACAATAAGTAACAAGAGTGCAGACGCTGGTCTCACCGCTTCACTCTGTATGTCTTGTCATAGAGCTGCCTTTCGGAAGTTCAGTATGTACCGACAAACCCGCACTAACAGTCTGTATTAGGTAACATACCAAATCGAATTGTAAGTTATCGGTGCGCAACAACCCGTTATCACGTTCTTTGTCGTCTCGTATTCTCACTCACTCACTCACTCACTCACTCACTTGGAATTTTTTTTGACCCGTTTCTTGACACTTCCCCGGGTTTTCGTTCAAGACGACGTTCGCGAGAGGCAACAGGTGTTGGAGCTTACAGGAAACAATGTAACACAAAGGGCTCACAAAGCACTGCATGGGAAGCGAATATTCTAGTTTAAGAGTGCACTGAAAACAAAGGTCCGTGTCATGGGTAGGCCATATAGCTGGTACAGTGGACTACGCCAGTGTAGTTTGTTGAATTTAGGCGTGCAACATGTCTTGGGATCAGGTAGGTCAAGTGACGCTAGTGACCACATGTAATTGGCATTAAAGGGACACTGGAGAGGAAAAAACCATTTTACAGCACACACACGTGCGTTCGCGCACACACACTCTATGTTTTATGTGTTTATCAGTGTATACACCATAACCAACACCCAGTGCCTGAATTATATAGAATGCCAGGCGAAAAGCCAGACAAACATCTCCAGCCCTTCATTAAAATATTTTTCTCCTTTTAACGCGGAGCTGTGATGCTTTTTGTGTGTCCGCGTGGATCGTTCAGAAAGCTCAAGTGGGCACGCGTCGCAAAAAATGGGCAAGACCCACTATGAAGTATAAGAGTTTACGGGAGCAATATAAATGCGTTGCTGGTGAAAAAAAAAAAAAAGGAAGTGAGTCTGAGCAGGAGGGAATTAGAGTAACTCTGGGAGGGAATGAGGGGTAGTAATTTTTTTGTTTTTTTCTTCAGTCTATGCCAAGTACCCACTTTGAGGAATTGGCCGAGAAGGCGAGGTTGAAAACTTCAGATGGTATTTGAAGAGTGTTAGGCGATTTAAAAATAAAAAAATGAAAATGCCAATAATTTGTAATACATCAAATTAAGACTATAAGTATTATGCTATGTGGCTTGTATTTCAGACTGCCGTATTGAAGAGATAAGTTAGATTTTACTTTACTTTAATAACGAATATTTATAAATTTATTTGCAGTACTGTCAGTCTCTACTGAGACCATAGCAGGTGGGCACGTAGTATTTTATGAGCACGTAATATTTTTAAATAGAAGATTAAAATGGCACTCGTTTGGTAGTGATAACGAAATTACACACGGCATCAAAGGTATTCCCGTGGAAAAATCCCAAACCTGAGGCACCGAAGCTTATCCATATTTTGTTAGGACTGTGCACAGCGCTCACATGACTCGAAAGGACAGGACATGACAAGGACAGGGTTCTGTGAGTGCTGAACAGTCCTAAGCATGAACGCATACCAACTGTCTAGTCCTTTTAAGGAGAGACGGTTACGGGTGGCACTGTTCCTTATCATAACTGCTTGGAGATATAATAATAATAATAATAATAATAATAATAATAATAATAATAATAATAATAATAATAATAATAATAATAATAATAATAATAATAATAATAATAATAATAATAATAATAATAATAATAATAAGGGCTATTGAAAGGCCGACCTTGTGATTTTCTTTCACGTGCACTAACATCGTGCAGTACACACCTCTATCATTTCACCTCCATCGAAATGGAACTCCTGCGGCTGGAATCGAACCCGCAACCTTCGGGTCAGCTGTCGAGGACCTAACCGTCCTACTACCGTGGCGGACAGAAAAAGGAATAGGGGAGGGTATGAAGCATGACATAGTCGCGTGTAGTAGGCGTTGGTGCAGTAAGTACAGTATAACAAGGGTTCTGTAAGAGAACTGAAGGTGAGGAAGCGTGATGTGGGGTTGAGACGCAGAGAAGGAAAGGGGTATAACATAGCACAGTCTTGCACAGGTCAGTATATAGCAGGGCGTGGGAAAAGGACGTAAGCGTGAAGAGGAGTGAAAGAAGGAGAGGAACGCCACCGGCTTCGAACCCACAAATTCGAAAGTGGCTGGTTCGGATTTCACCTAAGGAATTGTTGATATTTCCTCTTCTTTAACTTTTCTCACTTTTGATCATAATTACTACAGTTAGGTTAACGATGTGCGCTATATACTTTGCTTGGCCTATTGGATTCAATTCGCTGTGCCTAACAGGGAAAGAAATCCCCAGAAAACATTTCCATTCTTTCGTTTATGACAGCACACCTTCAGACACAAGCTGCATTTTAAATAATTCTTTAAATGAATGAGGCTGAGTTCTTTATATAAATGCAAAACGAAAAAAAAAAAACACTTGAAGGTGCGTTGGAGTGAGTGACGATGAGCTCATGACTGGGTTCCTAGGAGGCGATCCGGGTCAAAGCCGACCAGCCGGAGGGAAGTGCCGAACACTTCTTCGGCCAGCGCCCGGTCCTCGAGCAGCGGGTTTCGGTATCGCTTGGCAGCGGGAGCACATTCTTCGAAGAATTCGCCCGTGGTCGTCTCCAACGCCGGGTCCACCGACACCTGGATTGTGGTCTGCGCACCTTGCAGCGGTGTCTGTCACGTAAAGGCGCCACTGATCATTATCTGCGCACAAACACTTCCTGAAAATCATTTACACAGTCTACTGTGCTTGGCTGCCGCGTACTTTTAGCATTGCGAAGTTTATATTAAGACCTTATCTTAAAAAAAATGTAACCTGTTCCACCCTGCTTCACTATAACCAGGGGCGAAATTTGCCACTTGGGTTTGGTAATAGTCCCGGGAGCAGTCAAATAGGCCTTTTAAAGAAGCCTTGGAACACCCAGAAAGACATTTTAGAGCAGGCTTGGAGCACCGAGAAATGCCTTTTCAAGCAAGTTTAGACCAGTCGCAGGGAACATTCAGAGCATGAGAAGCCCTGTTGCAAAACACTTGTGAATCAATATTTGTCCTGTGCTGCACTTCCAAACACCAAGCTAAATTATGCAATAGCATTGTTATTGTGACATAAATTATATGGACAGTCTCGACGGATTGTTGTCGCCGTCATGTCCTGCATTAAGTCCAAATTGATAACACAGTCCCGCACATGTACGTTCTACCAGCGGGTAAAAGCGCGCGAGAGGGGATGACGAACGCGGCTAAAGCAGTGATCAAAAGAGCTGGCCCATCTCCGTTGCTTGGAGATCACATGCGATAAAACCACCCGTCTCGGGAGGCCTGCCGTCAAAGCAGAGAGGGAACAGACCGCCCGTCATGAAAGAGCGTGAAAAGAGAGGAGGCGTGAGGGGGGGGGGGGGGGGTCTGGCGTGTAGCGTCGCTTGATCAGCAAACAGTGAACTTCGATGTGTCAACTGTGAACTTCCCTTCACTATAGGCGATCGCAATGGCATGGTGCACACGCTGTAGCTCCGCAGCCATCAGCGGGCGGCTTCAATACACTTTTACGTGCTGCGCACTCATTGCGAAGAGACTATGCGAAAAGTGTAGCCCTTCCTGGAGTGGCCGTATTCGCTTGCACGAGCGGACATTCTGCTGACGAAGCGAGAATGGTGTGCCCACCTTTCCTTTGGTGTGTGATAGAAGATGAAAGAGCACTCTCCGGATGAAGGATCCGTGGCTTGCGATGGGCGTCTGCACAAGGCCTGGATGAAGGGAGTTTACAGTGACCCCTGCAAGCGAATGGACCAAAATTGTTATATGCATTAGCGAGTACTGTGGCAAGCAGCGATCCTGCGCAGATAGCGCAACTGGTCGTCATGTTCGCTCAAAACAAACACAACTGCGCGTTTCTGTTTTTTTTTATTTCAACGAAGCTTCGAATATCGGCTTGGTAACGTCACATTCTATTCCGTTGATTTATATTCTTTCAGGAAAACTCCAACAGAAGTGGATACATTTGGGTATGACACAAAGTAGAAAGTTGAGTAGACATTCAACAGCAAATCATTTCTGGTATCGCAGCTTAGTAATAAGGAACGCAATTTTATTGTTAGGCCTTAATAACAAACATTTCCAATATTTTCAACGTATTCTTTTGGTGCAGAGAATGAGTCATTGACGTAGTTTCTTGAAATCAGCGATTAAAGAGTGAATTGTCGACACACACACACACACACACACACACACACACACACACACACACACACACACACACACACACACACACACACACACACACACACACACACACACACACACACACACACACACACACACACACACACACACACACACACACATATATATATATATATATATATATATATATATATATATATATATATATATATATATATATATATATATATATAATAGTGTGGAGGAAAGCCGTAATTGTTTCAGTTATTCCAATTTATTATAATTAGAAAAGTGGTTAAACGAATTAGTGGGACCCCTGTTAGCACAAATTTAGAGCGTTTATGCTGTGACAGGGTTCATACGAGAACAAAGGAATCAGGACCACCTCCTCGGTTTTTTCTTCGTCACTCCCCCCCCCCCCCTACATAATATAAGTGGCTGGATCCCCCCGGTCTCTTACACGTGGAATGCCTTACAACAGGAATTACCTTCCACATGGAATTACTGAAGGTGAAAATTATCTTAAACATGGAAATACCAGAAGTAAGGAAACGTTGATTCGGCACGAAAATTAAGTGGGCCTTGACAAAGAGCTGGCGCTACACGTACCGGTGTCCTTGACCTTGTCGGCCAGTGCGACCGTGTAGAGGCACATGGCCAGCTTGCTGTTGGCGTACGGGGCGAAGGGAGTGCGCAGCGTGCATTTTCCTCGCGCCTTGGCCTCCAGCTGCGACACGTCGCCGATGGTGTGCGAGTCCGAGGACACGTTCACTATCCGGCTTGGCGCACTCTTTCGCAGTTTGTCTGGGTACGTTGATGCGACAGGAACTGTTTATGATCAAACGCCTTGCACAAACTTTACAAGAAGGAACTAAACACGGCGGCGAAAGACGCACAAAGCATGTCAGTGTGAAGTAACTACTGTTTAATACGTAGATAAACATATATGTGACACATGAAGTGATGATAGACAAAAGTAATGGAATAAATGGATGACGTATGAGGGAGACCACATGTTTACACCGAGTGTAACATATATATGTACAGAGACCACACGCGTGCGCAGTCAGCCCTGCGTATACCTGCGCCACCTATACTCGTTTATTATCTTCTATTAGGCCAAGCATTGTCGACGAGGTGCTTACATACGTGGCCCGTGCTGTAGATTTATTGCAAAGACTTCAAAGAACCCCTATTTCGTCTGCTTGCCAGAACTGTGCGAAAATTCGGTTTTCTTCCAACATAGGACTACACGGGCACCTGCTGCAGTGTATCGCCAGATGCCCAGGAGCTGAGGACACAGTTGTAAAGTGCTGCCGCAACCTGTTGTTGACGCATCTTCCCACCTGTCAAACGTAATGAGCACCGCTGGAAAGGTGGGGTCCTATTCAGTGCGCACTGCACCGAAAAAGCTGATAGTATTTTGCGCAAGCGTAAACGGTCACAACGAGAGGAACGAAGATGTAGTGCCCTCGACCAGACATGAAAAACTATTCGTTTAATGCGTGAAAAACGTCGTGTACAGGATCCCACTGTCCTGCGGAGTTCTAATACCTGCTCTAATATGCGAAGTATTTCTTAGCGAACTTCTGCACCTTTGAGCGTATCCATCCATCCGTCCGTCCATACACCCATCGTAGAGCATATAGTGGCGCACTTGGTTTGAAATCGAGGACAGTAAAGAAATGTTTTATCTTGTAGGGGCACATTCCCTTGCAGCGATGATCGTATTATGTCACTTCTAGTGGTCGCAAATGCGCCACAATATCCCCGCCTACCAACGTGCCCATAAGTCAGGTAAAACGATATATAGGCAGTGATCGATACAAAAAAAATGTGTATACTTAAGGAGGTTACTTCGTGCACACGAAAAGAGTGCTCACTTCGTGAACACTCTGACACAAAGAATTGCGGCAGTACATATACTGTGTGGCCCCTCTGTACGAGACATTTGAGCGAATGATGGGCCCTGGCTCTCTCGTTGACGTCTTCAGCTTTGGACAATACTAATAAACGATATCTGTCATACCAATATCTGATCAACTCACCCAGCAGCAGTAGAGTCAGCAGCACCGGAGATAAGTGATTTATTTGGAAGCAGGCCTCGAAGCCGTCTTTTGTGTACGTGAACTCCTCCGAGCCTGGCAGGAAGGAAGAGAATGACGTTTCATAAAGGATGCGCTTGAAGATAAAGCATGGAAAGCAAGCTCAACCACACTTTTTTGTATGTTCGTTCATGCGCTTGAAATGTGTGCGTGCATATATACGCAAGCAAAACTGAGAACTTTCGGTGGGGTTTGAACCCCACTGAAATCACCGCTACAGCATCTGGTGTCCACAAGGCAGAAGTCGTGTGCATTTGGATAGCGCTTAGTCGCCTTGTTCATTTTGGTGATGCCGAACTGTGCATGCACCGTGGCAGCGCTTGAGTACGGAAACAATATCTGCGCCGGTTGTCGGTAGCGTTTCACTTGTACCACCAGAGTCCTTTAGTGTTTTCGCTCTGGTCGTAAAATTCTGACGCAATGGTATATGGGAAATATTCACATAGTGAATCTTTCACATAGTGATTCACATAGTGATTCACATAGAATTCACATAGAATTCACATAGAATTCACATAGTGATTCACATAGGTGCCGCCATCATGGCACTGGCGTAGCTATAGGAGCGCAGCGTGGGAAGTGCACGGCGGCTATCTGGAAAGACGATTGCCATTGGCAGTGTTAGAACAGCGTGTTGATGTGTGCGCTCGTCCTCTTGCTTCACCTTGAACGTGTGTGCCCTTGTGGGGACGCGGACAGCTAGTCACGTCATGTATGATCCCGCCAAAACCACGTAAAATGTGTGTAGTTTTGGGAACCAAGCGAAATAAAAAAATGGCAGTGGCTTAGCTCAGCTATGCCAGAATATACGCAGCGTTAGCAAAGGTTCAGCTGAATATTCTTAGCTTTCCAGATATCAAGATTACAGCTGTTCCAATGACACACACACGGTATACGTATTATGTGGTACATGTATATTTATTTTGCCGGGCAACTACTTCGGGATCCGATGGTTTAAGCTTCTCCGCTCTACTGCACCGTTGAGCAGCATCTGCACTCTCCTTCTCCATGGCTATATATACCACAGTGGCGAACGCCAGTCAGAGGCGCTATCAAGCGGCCCCAGCGCAGTGTCAGATGGCGACTGCGCTGGGGCCGACTGCGCTGGGGACGCGTTGGCGTCCATATGTCCACCAAGGCTATGACGGCACTCCTCTGGAAAGCGCACACCGGCGGCGGCGAGTCGCGCGCGGCCGCGGCCGAGTGCGAGGGAGGTGCCGGCTCCGGTGCGTGACACCACTTATCGTCTGTGCAGCGCATCGAATTGCGCGCACACCGGCGGTGAGCCGCGCGCGGTGGCGGCGGAGTATCATTGTGCATGCGCAGACCAGTGCCCCGCGAAATTGGCTCAGCGAGGCCAGTGTAGCTAACGCTACAAAAACAACCAAGGCTATAGCCATACACTTTGTATTTCTAGCAAACTGCCAGGCCTGCGCGGAACGCGTAGCACAGTCATATCGAAAGCTGGAAGAGCGGCCTTTCTAGAGCTTCCTTTTAAAACACTATTTAGGTAGCTGCTGCAAAAACACTTGCAGGGCTCCCCCTACGCCATAAATTATTATAACTTTGTGTAGTAGGGAGGGATTCACTATGCCATCCATCGTTATTCTTCAAGGATTCGTGGCATTCGCTTTACACGCCTGCAAAGAATTTTGTGCAATTTTTTGATGCCGTGGCTGGCAACGATGAATAATTATGCATGAAGCTTTTGTAATGAATCGGAGCAGTCGCCGACGCACTCGCTACGTGATTCGCATTGTGTGACACCTGGTTGTTTCTTCGCTGTTTTGAAACGTTTTATATTACTCATGTAAAAGCGATACATTCCCGACATGACGCTTGCCTAGAGTCAGTTTTCAGCGGAGTTTCGAGCGTTGGTGTGTCTGCTCGGTAGCATACTGGGCTGGCACGCAGATGACCTGGACTCGAAGCCCATCGTGTCAGTGGGGCCGTTCTTTATTTAATTAGTTTTTTCTCTTATTTCACGCAGCTCATTTTTCAGCAGCTCATTTTTCCTCCATGCCGTAACACTCTGGAATGCACTGCCAGATAACATTGTTTTTTGCAGGGACCGCTCAATATTTCGCGAAAAACTAACCCTTTTCCAAAATCCAAATACGATGTCCTAACAGCACATTAACTATGGCGTTTAGAGTTGTTTTACTGTACTCATAGAATTTATTTATCGCCTATTAAATTTTGTATGTTTTGTTATGCGTGTTATTTCCGTTCGTGTTCTTTATTTGCTCATTCATTGTAATCAGTGTGTGCCCTCATATTGTTACATTGCTTAGGAACTTACAACCTGGATGTACGACCCCCCTCCCCCCCCCTTATGTAATGTCTTCGGGCTCTTAAGGTTCAATAAATGAAATAAATGAATAAATGAAATGAATTGATAGGGGTTACGAACACCGGCGGCTGTGGGCTACTGTGGCGCCAAAAACGACCCTTCTTGCGATATTAAAGCAGTTTTCGCTGTAAAACAGAGCATACGTTTTTGCACTAGTAGCACAAGCGTAGAAGAAGCAAAGTCGAACCCTAGGTGCGCTGTTGGTTCCAGTCCTGGGCCACGAGTGTGAGCTAAGGGTGTGAGGTTCACACATTTTTATTAGAGTGCAGCACTTGGCGCCCCTTCTCGCGGAGTGGTGTCGCCATTGGCTGACTTCGCTGACAAAGCGAACGAGGACGGAAGAGAGTGAACGCGGAGTCTCTCGATATCGCCCCCGAGCCAATGGCCTCCAACCTCACTTTCTTCCTCCGTCAAGGGCATTGGCCCCTCCGTCGGAGCTTGTGCGCATACAGGGCTAGCCTCGCTTAACGGAGGTGTCGGCTTTTCATTTGACTCGCGATGCCCATAATGCTCAGTTTCCAGGGCGTAGCATCCGAGCGCTTGCGGAAGTTTCTGTGGCATTTCTACAACTGCGCACAGCCGAGTTGGCGCTGCTCCAACTCGAAGCGGCGCTCAGAATTCGCATTAGGGATCATCGTAATCGACAGGTCAATTTTTACCGGAATATATATGCGTGCGGCTTTCGCTATAAATGTACCCTTGCTAATGTTTCGCGCTATACACGAGACGATGGAGCTGCTACCAACTGTACCAACAAAACTGTGTGCCGAAACTGAATGCCACTCACTGTTTATCAGGCCAGCGTTGTTGATGAGCACGTCGAGTCTCTCTTCACTTTCGTTAATTTCATCGCAAAACTCCTTCACAGACTCCAACGAGTCCAGCACAAGCTTTTTGACCACGACCGGCTGGTTCGTCTCGTCACTGATCTGCTGGGCAACCTCTTTGGCCTTCTCCACGTTGCGACAGGCAAGGATGACGCGGGCCTTGCGTCGCGCGAGCTCCTTGGCTGTCTCCAAGCCGATGCCTGTATTATAAAGGGAAGCTTAGTTTTACTCACAAGCCGCCTACGCTGCTTTGATATTGCGACAAAAGCACGTAAAGTATATTTTCTGGCAGCAATAGTTACATGTCCATGGTAAAATTCTGTAGGCCCGTGTGGGGCGCGTTAAAGAAACCCAGGTGGTCGAAATTTCCGCAGCCCTTCACTACAGCGTCTCTCATAATCACATGGTAGGTTTGGGACCTTAAACCTCACATATCAAATGCACGTGCATGGTTTGCATAAAAAAATACAGTTCTAAATAAATTAAACAGATGCTAAGAATGACTTTAATCAGTGCAATAAGCTCGTCATTTAGCACTCAATTGCCTCAATTGTGCTTTTTTATGCTTAGTGGCACATCTTGTAAAATTCTGCAACAAGTGTGGCCATGCAAGTTTCCGAGCGTTGCACCCAAAAATTGTGTTTCACCTACGACGCTTAGTGTAGAACAGTATACAGTAGTAAACGTAGGTATGCAGTAGTATGTGCCAGTATACAAGTATTGGGCCCAAGGTTTCTTCGGATGACCTATTATGCGGGAAAGTTTCTAGTTGTACGGCAACATGCAGCTAATACTCCGGTGGTGTGCGTATAGGCTATATATATAACACTCCTTTCGTTTTCCGCCGAAACTAGGGTAAATTAGTCCCAATTCCACGCACTGCATACGTTATCTTTCTTTTGGGACGTTAAACCCCACATATTAATACGTTATCTTTTGCCTCATGTTGTGAAAAATTACGTGATACATACTTTATTCAATACGCATTCGACTTTGCTGTCTCTGTTTGACCGCCACATATGTGGGGTCAAGAGTGGGAGATGCAACTTAACACTGAAAAAAAAAAGGTATCAATAAATATGAGCAGAAAAAAAACATTTCATTTTATTTCGTAGATTCTTATATCACAAGGATTAACAAAGGTAACTCAGTAGAAACACCTCGGCTTCACGATAAGTAATACACCGAGTTGGAACGCTCATATTTCGAGCTTTGCGCATCCACGTTTCGTAAGCTGTGCTTTTTTTCTTTTGTGACACAAGTTAGAGCATACACCATTTGACGCCAAACGGCTAGCATATTCCTCAATTATAAAACCCAAACTAGAGTACGCGTCCATTGTGTGGGACACTCACATTAAACGAAATATCGCAGCGCTGGAGATGCTACAATGAAAAATCAGTAAGGTTTATTTATTCTAAGCATCGTCAAACTTGCTCTCGTACTCAACAAGTGAATGAACACGGGGAAAATAGCATTACAGTTACGACAGCAAATAGACAGAATGACATGTATCCTCCATTTGAAACATAGCGATTTATTACTGAAACCTAAACTTCACGTAACGCCACTGACACACGAACTGCAAGGCATCAGCACGGAGAATCGCTAACAACATACAGCCCCAAAACTAACATTTTCAAATTATCGTATTTCCAGCGAACAATTATCGACCGTAATTCGGTGCCTATGTCATCACTCTAATGCACAGGCACAACAGAAAATCTTCAATATCGATGTTATGTTGTGTTATCTATATTATTTTTGTTCAGTTTTCTTTGTATTTTTCTGACTATTTTTCTATTGTACACGGCCTCACTTCTACTGACCATGGAAATAATGCAACAAGTCCCTATGCGTTTCTATTTCGATGCACCGAACTTGTTCATGTATTGCATTTATGAGTGCACTTTTGCTTCTCCTGAAAAGGCTTCGATTGGGCCTGCGGTATCGCGTTAATGAAAAAAAATAAATATTCCCGATAACTAATCCATGCGGTCTCTCTCCGTCCCCAAGGTTTTCACAGTTACAAATATTTCACCGGTATCATGAAATGCTGTTGGCGCAAGCCGTCTTTAACGAGGCTCACCTGACGTGGCGCCAGTGATGATGACAGTCTTGCCTTCCATGGACGCATCCGAGGAACACATGGCGTGCCGCTCAAACAGATGGCTGGTGCTCAGCGGAGCCACTCTCGCGAGAAACATCCACTCCGAGAGAAGGTCGTAGAACCGAGAGAAGGCGCTACGGCACTGCTTCATCGACGGGCTGTCCTTCTCCATTCCTGCACTGTGTAGCGTGCGAAGATTTGCGTATGCTTGCATCAGACAAAGATATGTTCATTGGACACCACAGCTTCTCTCCCTTGCAAACAAGCAGCATGCCTTTGGGACAGTCATACGTAAACAAAAAAGCCATTTTGAAGGAAGAATTTGTATTAACAACGGTGACCCAAACGAAGGAATCATTCACATTACACATAGGACGCTTACAAGTGCACACAACTATTTAAGAATGAGCATTGCAGTACAATAGTCAGGGGATAATGATGGCTAACGGTTTCATAAAGGTTAGCTCAAAAGAAGAAGAAACGAATAAGTGGTTTGGCTTGAGATAGCTGCAGTTGACAAGACATTGCGACATTTTCATGCGAAATTGTTATGTGTCACGTCTCCTCCATTAATGTACCTTTCTCTATAGCGACTTGCATAGACACCAGAGCGCGACCATCAAGCCACTATTCGGCCGTCCTGCTTTTGAAAGAGATGTTGACGTCGATATGCTGTGTCATGCAACAGCCGGGGAACGTCGTCTATATTTCGAGAACGATTTCTAGGTTTAGGACAAAAAGGCTCATTAAGCTGGAACCTCCATTAGAAAGAGATTTTCGTATGACCCGCCTTTCAACTGCGAGGCTGTTCGACCCCAGCGTGATGCGTCGTGACCCGAAATTTTTTACACACAATGAACGGGTGTGTGCAACAAAAATCGGAGACCGGACGGGCGGTGCACAGCAAAGGGTCAGAAAAAGAAAGAGACGGACACGCACAGAGAGAAAATGCTAGCGAAATAAAATTCTTACGAGGCGGCGGGATTTGAACCCGTGTATACTTACGGTCAGAAGGACTTGGCTATCCTGGCATACTAACAGAACGTAGAACAGCCTCGTAATGATGATGATATGTGGGGTTTAACGTCCCAAAACCACCATATCATTATGAGAGACGCCGTAGTGGAAGACTCCGGACCACCTGGGTTTCTTTAACCTGCACCCAAATCTTATCACACGGGCCTAGAACATTTCCGCCTCCATCAGAAATGCAGCCGCTGAAGCCGGGATTCGATTTCGCGACCTGCAGGTCAGCAGCCGAGTACCTTAGTCACTAGACCACCGCGGCGAGGCCGAACAGCCTCGTATAACAAGAGCATAGGAAAGAAGATGAGAGTGAAGAGAGAGGGGAATGAGAGGCAAAAGAAGGAAGAGAGTGATCCATACTATATAAAGCAGAATCAAAGAAATAGAAAAGTGGAGAGAGTGAATGAGAAAAATAAAGACAGGTAGAAAGAGAAAGAAAAAAATATGGCTGATTTCTCCTTCTAAGAATCGGTATAACACGAAAGTGAGACATGTTTTCACAGAAGCAGTCAAGTGTTCATTGTCCATTGTTTGGTCTCAAGGGGGAAGGAATGGATGCTGCAGAAACTAATTATGATGTCACGTGAAGAATAGGAAGCACCTGATAACTTGCAGCGGGAAGCTCAAGCAGAAAGCACGTACGAAGTGAGCATACAAAAGAGGAGCGACAACAGTCACAGCTCGACACTTCAAGCGCGCTGCTCAAACAGAAAGACGCGCTATATCTAACGCACAAGTATACACATAATGAGTGCGAAGTGTCACAATTCCTAATTCCTCATGTGCGAGCAGCGCGCTCCTTTTGTGAACGCGGCCGAGGCAGTGAGCGAAGTGACCTACGGGCTCTCTTTAAACGACTGCAGCTTCGAAGCAAGCTGGCAGTGGAAGAGGCACAAGGAGCCCGAATCACGAGATAAGTGCGCGCGCACGAGCGACCACGCCTTGAGGAGGCACGCGCGCATCCGGCTGGGCGACGACCTGACCACCTTCAAAGCGCGCCCTTCGCGCTATCACGCCACTGATGACGAAAACGGGCTAAATTATCTAATCCCTGTGGGCCACCAATGGTGTAAATAAAATGCGCGCTGTAAAGTAAGATATCGTAGGTTCGAAGCCCGGAGCGGAACTTTTAAATGCGAAGCATTTCGTACAGCGAAGTTGAGCGTATCTATCTATCTAGCCGCTTACGTTTGGGTGCCTTCGTGGTAACCCCCTTAACTTGGCATGAACCAGCATTGACATGGGAGGGTATGATGGTTTGAGGAATATGGCGCACTGGCAGAGACATGAATAATGTCACAATCCCGTCGCGTACGTCGTCAAACACTTCCTGCCAGACAGCGGCACATACCCATGGGCGCGTATGTGCCGCTGGTATGCGGGTATGTGCCACAAGTGATTGACGCTTAGTATGTACCCAGGAACGATGATAACACACATGGACAATTTTAACGCGCGAGCATTAGGAAATACCCGACATTGGTAGCGTCGACCCGACGAATGCAAAGAATGTTAGCGTCCCAGCTGGTATCGAACCCAAGCATTCTGCGTGGCAATGAAGCACTTTATTTACCACAGAGCTACGCCAGGTCTCGAAACTACTTTTCAAGTAGACGCTAATCTTCGTGAAACGTCAAAAGTGGCTGCAGAGCTGCTACCCAATTTTATAAACATTACACATGTACGCCTTTGACACAGCCGTGACGTCGGGTTAACGTCAATTGTGGTTAGTTGCCATGCACTCAAGTTGGTTTATGCAGCAATGTATAGGGCCAGCATCCTCGTGAGCATCACTGCTTCATATCAGCTTCTGTTGTTGCTGATACACATGTGCCAGTTAGCATCGTTGCGCAAGTGCAAACAACTGGTTATATAAACATCTACAACTCTTCAACATATGCCTGTGCGTGCAACGTTTGTACTTATATTTAGTGTCATTTCATGGGGTGCCGCTCAATAAAAAATTCGCAACACGGTCACCTTCCCTCTGCATGCTTCGCATAACGTAGATACCCAGGTACGTGGGATCTGCCAAATTTTTTTCTTGCTTTTTTTACAATTTGTTGTTATATGTTTTACAACGTAATATCTGTGACGGAAATACCTCAGTGGAGCTGTGGTGATCGCGGCATAAAGCACTTGCATGTTAAAGAAACACAGCACGAGAGCAACAAAGAAACAGAAATAAATGATGACAAAATGAATGCGGGAAGCTTGCACTAAGTCACACAAATTAAGCATGGTACAGTGAAGATGGTGTCAGGAAAAACGTGCTTACAAAATAGCGAAATCGAACAAGAACGCGTCACAAGATAGCGGAAACCGGCGTTATATAGCCTAAAGACTGGGCGGTTGACCAGCCTCGCCATGTCAAGTTTCACATGACTCGGCGCACAGTTTTTGTTCTCGACATCTGTCATCTTCATTTTAGCGTGCGAATATGCGGTGTTTTCATATGCCTGAAGCAACAGTCGGCAGGCAGCACAGATTAACCTTGGCGTTCGCAAGTCAAATAGCAAGCTGAGCGGTGGTTTGCAAAGTGGCACCCGAGGGAGGCTTTGAGGTCGTCCATGCACGGATTGATTAATTGATTTTGTGAGGTTTAACGTCCCAAAACCACTATTTGATTATGAGAGACGCTGTAGTGGACGGCTCCGGAAATTTTGACCACCTGGGGTTTTTTACCGTGCACCCAAATCTGAGTACACGGGTCCATGCACGGAATGAACGTCTGTAGTCGTGAACCATATACGATGGAAGATCTCCAGACATCTAAGTGCTTTCGAGTGGACTCCTCACATACAGAAAATGCCTTTTTAAAGTCTGCTCCTGCCAGTTTCACCCAATTTAGTTCACATTTGATCAACGTGCTCCAAGCCAGCTCCACAGATCGGCTCGGTGGATATAAGTGGTGTGCAAGGAACGTCTCTAGCAGGGAGGCACAAAAGAAAGTTGAATAAACTGATTCGTCTATGGAGGGAATGTGCGGCAGGTGGTCTGTCACGAGATGTCTCAGGAAGCGCTTCCCAATCACGACGTTGCATAAACCTCGTTTCGCAATATAGTCATAGCTGGCGGAATAGCGTTGTAGAAAATTCCTGGAGATCTGCCAAAAGACACTTTCTTCTTCCATGTCCTTCGTTGTGCATTGCAAATTTTCGCCGTGCCTGTATCACCACCATTAAATTCATTCCTAGATGCTTTCATGTACAGCCCTTTTTATGAAATGCGTGTGCTACCAGTATTAGCCACCCACTTTTTTGCCCAGTCAAGTGAGCATCCGCAGTTCACACAATTGAGCGACAAATCGCTCCCCTAGTTATATTCTATCAGAAGTTGTTCTTGGGTTCTTTGTATTTAGAGGAAATTTATTTTATCGCGGTACGTAAGAAACAACAGAAAACAGTGTCTACGCATTAAGGACGCATCGATGACCACATTTAGAGACTGTTTCGTGCTGCACAGGGCCATTCTGAGCCCTTCCCAATTGACGAGTCTGCAGACTGACCGTAACTTGTCGAAAAAAAAAAAAAACACAGGAACGCGCAATTAGCAGTACGCTGCGTGGGTGACAGTCGGGTGTATTCTAGAAGGAATTGAAGTCCTTTAATAGCATGATGGGGAAACCCACGTCGGTCAGTATTGACTTTCGAAACTCGAGACAGCCTTGAGAGAAAACACAACCTTGATCACGAGGGTGGTGAATCTTCCTGCTCGCTTGAGGGGTCTTGAGTAGTTGGAACTGAAGGGACCTTTCTCTGAGCAAACAGACGACAGAAGGAACGTGCGCGCTGGCAGTCTTCTACAAAAGGCCGCTTAAGGAGACGTTAAAGGCGAACTTTCTGAAGTACCATTCGCAAAACCTCATAGACGCTCGTGTCGTGTGAAGGAAATGCTATAGATTTGAATGAAAATGGCGCTTTAGTAGTCCGCACACCGTTAGAGCGATTCAAACTGCCCACCCCCAAAAGACTTATGACGTAAGCATTTTAAAAAGCCGCTATTAACCGGCACTACACCAGCACTTGCCGTTATTTGGTGACGTCGCACCTTCACCAAAAAGAAACGCAAAAAATATTCGGCAGATCCTAGTAATTTTGAGAGTCGATGTTGCGGGTATATCGTGGGCAGGCCCATAGTGAGAATTTTTTTTTTTT